ACGCCGAGAGTCGCCTGGACCTGTCTGTGTCGACGAGGGCGGCGGTAGAAGCCCGACTGTCTCGAGAAGGGGCGTGTGCGTCGCCGCGTTCATCTCTGTCGCCGCGTTCATCTCTGTCGTCGTCATCGCTGTCGTCGTCTTCGTGCGCGGCAGGGGAGCGGTCGTTGCCGCTGCCGAAGGAAGTGTGGAATCTGTTCAAGTTTGTGCATCATAGTTTGGTCCGGTCATTGAACCCGGAACACCCGTCCCTACCACGGGCGTGGCAGCTCCGAGACTGTGCCCATATTCCCGCTACGTGGTTCTGTTTACCGGCGATGGTTAAAGATGCGGCCTTCTCGTGGGCTAAGGCTCACCCACAGGTGCTTGCAGATATGGACGTAATTACGGACTGCATAGAACGCAATCAACAGATTCCTTGTTCGTGCTCTATTGAAGCGGCACTCCGTGTACTTGAAAAATGGCTGCTTACCATGCCTCTTCCCCTCGTACCAAATGAGTCGTTAGTTGCCAGTCAAACTGAAGAAGACAAATTGCACATACTTTGTAGAGCAGTCCTCCTCAACCTGCCCAGTCTTGCAGTAACTACACCCACCACGGTCCCCCCAGCACCCACACACCCACCCCCACCCACCACGGTCCCCCCACCCACCACGGTCCCCCACCCACCACGGTCCCATTTCCCACCCCACCCATCCACCCACCCACCCATCCATAACACACACACGTGCGTCGTGGTTATGTTTAGAGGAACATATTGATGACAATGCTAGCGATAATGCGGGAGCTACTGTTTTATAACCGGATGACATACGAGATCATGTTACCATTGGTCTGGAAGGATAATCCTGAAGAATTACATAACGATGGAATCATGCTAAGTCCAATCGAATTCATACCACGAGAAGTTCGAGACCATCTTGTATCTAACCTCGTTCGTGGACATACCAAAATCATCTATGGCTCGGATGGATGCTGCCGTGCTCTGGCTGTATGGATCGCGCGTCTTGTAGCTCGAGATTCACCCACCGAAATTAGGACTGCATTCGTACAACACTTTCTTCTCTGACAATAATGTTCTGGCTCCTCATGATCGGTCCCTCATGATCGGTCCCTCATGATCGGCCCCTCATGATCGGCCCCTCATCAACCGTTACAATCCCGGAATTGCCTCCCACTACAATCCCGGAATTGCTTTCCTCTCACTACAACTTTTTTTCCTCCCACACAAACCTTTAATTCTCGACCGCTGTGTCGTGTGTTGCGGACGACTCCGCCCTCTCCGCGGCAACGGCAGGACAAACTTCCTCGGCGAATGAGGACCTGGACGTAACCACTTTAATACGGAGCAAGACTGAAGCCGGACTACCTTGCGCTTAGTACTGTTCGTCAAGTCAAGACCCGCCCACGTGCTATGGACTTCAAAGACGGCGGGGAAGCCGTGGTCGAAGGGCGCACCGAGGTAGTGGCAACCCCGACTGGTGGTTTCCGGCACATATCACCTGGCCGCCCGTCGCACTCAGACCCGTCAACTTCAGCCCGGCGGGAGCATGCTGGCCCAGTATGCTCCGGTGGCCCAGTATTGCCTTCCACTGGCTGGCCAACAAATCTCATCCTGCACGCACATCCAACACCGTCATCGTTCCGGTGCCTTCTACCATAACCGGTTCCACCGCGATGGTTCGGGATGTAGAGGATTTGATCCACCGACCAACGACCATTAATACGTGTCGCGTGGTTGGCGGCTGGTACACTTGGTTGGCGGCTGGTACACTTGGGGTAAGGGTGATAAAAACGGGTTGTCAGACGATCTTTGACTGGTGTTGCGATCTTTGACTGATATTGCGATCTTTAACTGATATTGCGATCGACAATTATTCTCGAAGAGAAATGCGGAGTTGTGATGGTCAATACATGCCGTTGGACTGGGTGTTGTTCGGGCTTCAGACGGTGTTGTTGCGATGTTCCTGGAAGGAAGAGGATGTGCTATTGATTCCGTTATGTTCGGTGAAGAGTCTTCTGCCGGGTCCGATTGAGGAGCTGGAAGTGTGCGGCACGTGTGTGTCGTTCGAAACTTTGTGTTCGGCCACAGTGGAGAGCGAAGTGTTCCATGTGTCACAGAGCCATCGACTACCCGGCAATAGTCGCTCTGCTTTCCGCTATGGCGATCTTGAACAGTTCCGGCCAGGTCTGGAAAGATTCCCATGCAGTGTGCTCACACACGAAGCTGCACGACGAACTTTCTGGTATCAACGCCACACCCTCCCCTTCAAAACAAATCCCCGAGATTTTAACACACAGGACCACATCATCAAAGGTCACTTCACCAACCTCTACGGCCCAAACCAGGTCTTCCTCGGACTCATTCCGGACCCCGACTTACTCGCCGAAACACGCGCCAAGGATGCGACCTGTCTGCGACTCAACACGTCTCGCCAACCTGCAACGCCCGGCCTGCCTGCAACGACCGGCCTGCCTGCAACGACCGGCCTGCCTGCAACGCCCGGCCTGCCTGCAACGACCGGCCTGCCTGCAACGCTTGAAACGAACTTCTCCGCGACCTCGCCACTCAACGTCGGCGACTGGACAACTCAAACCCAGACTGGGCCATGGACGGGTCAACTCAACGTCGGCGACTGGACAACTCAAGTGCAGATTGGACCGTGGACCGATCAACTCAACTTCGGCAACTGGACAACTCA